AAAAAAAAAAAAAAAAAAAAAAGAAAAGGAAACGAAAAAGCAGGTTAAAAATTGAGTTTTATTATAAAATAATAAGACGTTGTTTTGAATATTATATTTGTCGTTACAATGGTTACGTTCGTTTTTACGCGCGTGATTTAAATTGAATACCTTTATTTCTTTTTATTTTATCAAATTACAGATTACACAATGAACAAGTAGAAAGTGTTGTAGAATTTTCTTTTTTTTTTTTGTTTTTTTTTGAAAGAAGTAAATTAAAAATACATTTTGAAATATTAAATGATGATCAAAATTAACGAGTTACAAAAAAAAAAAAAAAGAAAAAACAAGAAGATTTGAAATCGCGCGCATAAAAGCGAAAAAAATCTTTTATCACCGCTTTCTCGTGCTTGCACAACTTACGTAGTAGTTTGGTAAGCGATAGATGGGTATTGTACTTCCAACACGCTATTAACCTCTTTCACTTACGATCTAATGCCAAAAAAAAGAAAAAAACAAATAAAAAAATAAAAACGAGTAACAATAAATCCATCTACAAGTCAAGATGTCAAATATTAATTTGTCGACTTTTATCATTTCTCTTCTTCTTCTTCTTTGTTTCTTTTGTCCTTTCCTTTGAATGAAACGTCGTATTTTTTTTGTTATTAAATAAAAATCATTTTTTTCAACTACGCATAGTTCATTGATTGATTAGAGCAGTACATTCGATAAAAAAAAATGGAAGAACTTGGTTCGAATTCCGGTTCACGTTTCGTTCAGTCAATTTTTCTAAACTGATGAACAAATGTTTTAATTCTTATTAAATTTAAATGTTACAAATATTATTTGCATAAAGAAATTAGTTTATTTAAAACAATGATTTGTGCGTGTGTGTGTGTGTGTAAACGGTGTTGATATTTGTTAGAAAATTTTAACCGTGTGTTAAGTGTTACACTAATTAATTAACAAACAATTACAAATATACATTTGAAATGAGGTTAAGAAATAATTTACGTAAAGGTGGCGCATCGATAAACTGTTTTTCATTTGTTTTTGTTTTTGTTTTTTTTTTCAAACGAAGAAAAAGTATTGTTTACAACTGTTAATGTATTTTTAATTAATTTTTTTTTTTGTAATAACTATCAATTGTAGAATTAAATTGTACTTATCAATATTAAACACACACACATATACACACAGATATAAATACACATAGCAGAGAAGTAAGGCACTTTCTATTTCTTTAAATTCATACTTCAATCGATCGATTATTCTCAACGACGTAAAAAGCTAGGAGAACAAACGAGTACACTGTTTTACTTTCGTAAACGTATAAGATATTGATAAGTATCCAACGAAAGATACATGCACGGTTAGACACGACTGAATTAAATTACGAAGTAAACGTTCACATATTTATATAATGTAAATTGCACAGCACCAACGATCTTCCATAAAATTGTCGACACAAGTATTTTGCATTCAATATTGACAGCATGAACGTTATTTAAATCTCTCCAGGCTTAAAAATCATTTTTGTATTTGACAAAACAAACCAGAACACAATACACACGTCTTTCGTATTAAAAAGAATAAGAGAAAGATTTAAAAAATAAATGAATACACGTTTTAAATCGACATGACAACGATTACGAGGGATAAAACAAATCAAAATAAGATGGGGAAGGAAGAACAGCGTACAGTCGAAGAAGAGAAAGACTACTGAGAGTGGGCTCGATCGTTCACCGTGCTGTTCTTCCCGTTGATGGTGGAAGGAAGTGAGAAGGAAGCGAGACGACAGGTGACTGGTGGATAAGCCCGCCATGCGCATCGCCTTCGGCCACAGTCGGTCGCGGTCGGCCGGCTTCGGAGCTCTCTGGTGGGGACGAGCAGTGTATCCGTGACGTCACATAATTAGAGTAAATACAAAGTAGTCTTGATGGGGCAGCAGCGTGCGCCGCATCGTGAGTCGCTGGTCCGCGCGCGTCAAACTTATATCGTCTCGATACACGACACCCGTGGCTTACCTTATAGTGTATATATATATAAAATAAAACATACATAATATATAAACTTATATACATATATACATATTATATATATATATAAACATATATATATATATATA